GAAATGTTTAAAAAGTGTTGGGTTTCCTACGAATCCGCAAGAGCGCGCGGGATGAGATTTTGACATTTTTTTGTTGAAAAACCATTGGTTTTTTGATGTTTTTATGTTAAAATCGCTCCGAACACTAAGCTTTTGGAAGGATTTCGTCTTGCGCGCGCGAATGTCCACTTTACCTTATTTTTTGCAAGGGATTCTTGAAATTTGATTATATTAGAACAAGAAATGTCATTTTATAGTGTTTTTTGCAAGGGAAAACGGATTACAACAAAACAACCGGATCTGGACCCCATCCACTTTTCTGAAGCTTTCGCGAAAAAATGATGAAAATGTAGCTGCGGCCTAGGCGCGGCGGGGGGGCCGTGCACCAGGGGTCCCAACAATAATTATTCTTTAGAATTAATAATGTTCAATCACTTTACCCGAACGCTCAGTGTTCTCACCAGTGCCAGGGTTTTCATGCGACGCCAGCCAATACCCCCACTTTGTGGGGGGGCAGTGCAAGCTCTACCAAATATCCACACGACTCTTCGCCACCACCCACACCCAGCTTCCCGCCCTATGACGTTCGGACACTTCACTTCGTGGCCTGCGGACGACCGTGGCTACTACACTGGCGTGGAGTACACACCCACAGAAGTTGTTAAGCCTACGTTCGTACACCCACAGAAGTTGTTAAGCCTTGTTAACCCACAGAAGTTGTTAAGCCTTCCACAGAACATCTGTTGCATATGATGCATATGGTACATGATACACATGATACACATGATACGTACTCACAAGATAGTTGATCACATCTTTAGGGCAAATTCCTGGGGGTGGGGGAATACACAAGAGGGCGCAACCTATGGCGCAACCTATGGCGCAACCAATAGGGGGACGTTTTATTCTCGGCGGCCGAGGGCGCAACCTATGGCGCAACCGCAAGGGATTGTGGCCCCTGGCAGGCGCGCGAACCCCGTTGCAAGAGCGTGCGAAAGTAGCTCGCGCGAGCTCATGTAACATAAATGTTGGAAAACCATTGGTTTTTTTAGGATTCGGACAGCGCGCGCGGGTAGAAATTTTGAAAAGTCGTGCAGGTGTTTTTCGAGGACCTACGGTGCGATTCGTGTGATTTTATGATGCGCGGTGCTAAAATTCTTAAGAAGCCCAATGGTTTTTGGAGATTTCGGCGTGCGCGCGCGAAGAAAAAACGAATGTGTCCCGCATGGTATTATTTGACAGGGATGATGGCCCTGGCAGGTGCGCAACCGTTGTCGCAGAAGTTCGAAAAAGTTGCTCGCAAAAGCCCGTTTGACAGAAATGTTTAAAAAGTGTTGGGTTTCCTACGAATCCGCAAGAGCGCGCGGGATGAGATTTTGACAATTTTTTGTTGAAAAACCATTGGTTTTTTGATGTTTTTATGTTAAAATCGCTGCGAACACTAAGGTTTTGGAAGGATTTCGTCTTGCGCGCGCGAATGTCCACTTTACCTTATTTTTTGCAAGGGATTCTTGAAATTTGATTATATTAGAACAAGAAATGTCATTTTCTATTGTTTTTTGCAAGGGAAAGCGGATTACAACAAAACAGCCGGATCCTGTACACACCCTCTTTTCTGAGGCTTCCTCACGAAAATGATGAAAATGTAGCTGCGGCCTAGGCGGCGCAGGGGGGGCGCGCACCAGGGGGCCCAACAATAATTATTCTTTAGAATAAATAATGTTCAACAACACTGACAACAGCAACAACGGCAAGACCAACAACAACACCAACAAACAAGCAAACAACAACAGCACCAACAGCAACAATCAGTATAAGACTGTTCGCTCCTATCTGCTCCTGTGCCAATCAATACGTATATCACAGACCCTCGGCACCCGCCCTCGTGGTCTTCGATCGTACCCCCATTGGGGGTAGATCTTCCTCACCTGCCATGTGCATTTAGTGCAACCCCTAAAACAAGAGAAGAGAGGACGGGTGGAAGGGGGAGGGAGAAGAATGGAGCACGAGAGAAATTAGCAGGAGGGGTGCAAGGAGCAGAAAACAAGTGGTAGAACCAGACGGGCAGATCAGGTGGGCAGACCCATAGCGGGCAGGTCGGGAAGGCGGGCCCAAGCGACCAGGTCGAGCAGGCGGGTTGCTGAAGCGTGGGTCCTACATGAATCGCAAGGAGATCTCGAGCGATAGCGAGAGATTCCCAAGTAAGTCGTGAGAACAACCAAAAGCGAGAGCGTGATTCCTGAGCGCCGAGGGCGCATCGTCTAAATAACTTGCGAGGAAATCCCACGCGAGAGCGCGACTCGTATACAATTTGTGAGGACATCCCGCCTTAGAACGCTATTTGGGAATACATTCTGAGGAAGTATCCGGCGGGAGCCGATATTGACTTAAGCGGGGGGCCAGGGGCCCAGTTTGAGCCGAGTGACCTTCCCTGATAAAGCAGCAGGGTGCGAGCCCTGGGGGAAGCACATCAATTGAAAAACTACACTGCTCGCCAGAGGGGGGGATCAACAATAACTATTCTTCGGTAGTAAAGGTTTAACAACGACACCGACGGCCCCCGCCTGATATTGCATCGCAAATGCAAGCAATCGCGTTCTCGCGCGGGACTCCCTGACAATGTGTGCAAGAATCGCGCTCTCGCGTGGGACTTCCGCGCAATGTATCGAAGCGTCACACCCTCGATGCTCCGGAATCACGTTCTCGCTCTGAATCTCCTAACGATGTATTTGGGAATCGCGCTCTCGCTCGTGACTTCCTCACGATTCATGCGGACTGACCCCTCAACGACCCGCCCGCCCAGCCCGCCCGTTGAGTTCCACCCGCCCGATCTGCCCGTCTGGTTCTGCCGTTTGCTTTCATCCTCCTACCCCCTCTCCTGCCTAATCTCTCTCGTGCTCCATCCTTCTCCCTTCCTCTTGTACTGTCCCTCCTCCCTCCCTTCCCCTGTGTTACGGGCTGCGTCAACTGCACGCGGCAGGTAAGGAAGATCTACCCTCAGGGGGGTACGATCGAAGACACAGAGAGTGGGAATCGAGGAATTGGAATTGACATGCTGAGCGACACGCGAGCAAAAAAGATCGACGAATATGAACATGAGTGTTGTTGTTCTTATTGCTGGTTGTACTTGTTCGTCGTTGTTGATTGGTGGTTGTTTGTGTTGGTTCGTACTTCTTGTTGTCGTCGTCCTCGCCCGCGACCCACCCCCCGGGCGCCCGCCACGCCACGACTTGGCGGACCTGGCGGAGCCCGGCAGCGCAACTCGAGAAAGCAGCACGCGAGAGCTCACGCCCTCGGCCAGCGAGCTCCGGGGGGGGCGTGTGCTTCCTCCGCTCCCCTTGCCGCAAGGGCCCTGCCCGGCCCCCCCTCCCCGCCCCACCCAAACAGGCTCACCTGACGACCAGCATCCCGAACAGCTGGGCCGAGCCGCTGGGCCGCCAGGGGCGCATTCCGCATGGCGCGCAGGTTCAGGCCGTCTCCCGCCGCTCGAGGCTCGGACTCCGCGGAAAGCGGCTCTCACGACCCCGCCCGTCACCGTCCGCTATCGGGCCGGGCGAACGGGGGCGATAGCAAGGGGGGGGGGTGAGAATCGGCTCACGTAGCCGATTTTCCTGGCGCCTCCCGGCGCCGGAGGCGCCTTTGTATCGAGGAATGGGCCCCTCGGTGGAGCCGAAACCAGCTGCATGCAGCAGACTTCGTAACCGCCCCTCTCCCAATCCCCCGCTTTCGTCCGGCCCGACGCTACCGTGCCCCCTGGCACGCCAGGTCGTTCCACGGCGACGCTGCCCTCATGGCAGGATACATGAGATGTTCAGGGGTCTACCCATCCAGTCCACCCCACCCCACATCAGCGTCACCCGACCGAACACTGATCCCCTTTTCTTTTGCTCCCCGACCCTCTTCTCCGCTCTGAGATCGTACAGGAGGTCCCCAAGACGGTACCAGGACTCCTCCAGACAACTCCCATACTCGGCAAGGTGCACCCAGAGAGCGCAAGATTGTCCCAGCAGTCTGGAAGAAGGCACTGAGAGGGCTCCAGCATGCGCCCGCGGAACATCCAAGAGCCCTCAGGAGGCTTTCATGAGGCTCCCCGGGAGGCTCCTCTGAGGTCAATGGCACAGGCGCTGATGCCCCCATCAGTGCATCATTGCACTGCCTCTGGCCGGGAACACGACTCTGTCATCGACTACGCGCAAGAGTGACCCTGGGTAAGAGTGACCCTTCGGGCGCGGCTTTTTGGGGACCGCTGGGGGACGCACACAAGCGCGCAGGCCGCTAATACCGCATCGCATTCGGCGATCGTGGGGCCCAATGGGCCCGCACCAAAGGTAACTCTGGCGAAGGGTCACTCTTACGTGCAATCGATGTTATTGCTACGCTTGCTTTAAGTCGGGCCTGTCACCCTACAGGGGGATTGTCGACGAAAAATAACAAATACCAGACAAATGCTCAAAAGATGCCCCAAACATACTCACAAAATGGTCCCCATACTATTTTGACTATTTTCGAATGTTCCCCCTGTAGTTGGATGCCTACCAGACCACCCCAACCCAACCCGAAGACCCGAATTTCGGGTTGCGGGGGGGTACGGGTTCCATACGTGTTTTCTCGATGTTCCACGACCCCCCCCCACTGGAAATCGAGGATAAATTGGGGCCTTCGGGTTGGGTTGGGGTGGTTTGGTGGGTGGTGAGTAGTGGGACAGCCCCAACTTAACGCTTGCTGCCAGATGAACAGTCGCTGCTGCTGCTGCTGCTGGCCGTTGCGGCTTCCCCTGCACCCGCCTACCGGTGCCGACGCTCGCGCTGCCCCGGTCTCGCCGCCCCTGCTCGGTGACAAGCCTTACGTCGGGCCTGTCCCCCTACAGGGGGACGTTCGACGAGTAAAACATATCCCAACAATGTTCCACAATGGTCAAAAATGCTACAAAACTAGTCCTCAGACTATTTTTTAAATATTTTTGAATACTCCTCCTGTAGAGGGACGGGTCCGACTTACGACAAGCCCCCCCCCCCCCGCGCCTCGTAGAACTCCCTGCTCGGCACTACTCGCCCCGCCTCCACGACGAAGAGGAGGCCGCGCTCGTCGGTCAAGCAGCGTCGCGCCTTGCGCCAGAGGGCGGAAGAGGCAGGGACAAACAGCAGGCTCAGTGGAGCCATTCCCTCCCCCACCCCAATCCCTCCTCCTCCCTGCCCTCCCTTCTCCTTCCTCTATTTCAGCCCTCCTCCACCTCGCCCCACGAGCCTTTCCCTCCTCCTCCTCGTCTTTCCCTTCCTCCTCCTGTCTCATCGCTCCTACTCTCTCCGCCATTACACAATCTGTATACTGCTCTCCTCTATCCCCTGATGACGTCCGGAAGATATGCTGCCCCCTTCCGCGTACTGTATTTTTACAAACAGGATTCCCGGGAATTCGGTTTTCGTTTGAGATTTTTGTGTTCAATATGTTGCTCCATGTTCGGGCTCGTTTTCGGGCTTCCGCTCGTTCCGGATTGCGTTTCCGCTGCAGCGGTGGCATCATTTCCACGCGTCCACTCGTTCCGAATCTTGCTCCCGCTGCAGCGTTGACCTCTTTTCCGCGTTTCCGCTCGTCCCGAATCGTGCTCACGCTGCAGCGCTGGCGTCATTATTTCTAATGCCATGCCACGGCATGGTCTTCGGTCCTTCCAAACAGGCCCCAACATCTAGGAACTGGGTTTCCGAAACAAAAAAACATCGGAAGTGATTATACATTCGGTGCCGATTCGCTTGTTTCCCAAACATCCTGTGGTGTTGGGTCCTCGTTTTGAAGAGACGGTCCCAGCGTTCTTCTTTCCTTCCATTCTCCTCACCCTCCTCCTCCCTCCTCCCTGCGTTTCCCCCCACCCAGTACAACGTTTCGTGGCCCCACAGAGGGCTCCACCGAAGGCTCCAATGGGATCGCCCGCATTCGTCATCCACAACCCAGTACAGTGCCTCGTGGCCCCATATGGGGGCTCCACCGATTGCCCCAGTGGGGCCGCCCGCTTGCGTCATCCACCACCCAGGACAGCGCTTCGTGACCCCAAAAGGAGCTCCACAGAAGGCCACAGTGGGACCGCCCGCGTGCGTCATCCACCACCCAGCACAGCGTTCCGTGGCTCACTCAGGAGCTCCACCGAAAGCTCCAACGGGCCCGCCCGCATCCACCACCCAGTAAAGCGCTTCGTGGCCCCATAGAAGGCTCCAGCGAAGGCTCCACTGGGACCGCCCGCATGCGTCATCCACCACCCAGTACAACATTTCGTGGCCCCACTGGGGGCTCTACCGAAGGCCCAAGTGGGATCGCCCGCATGCGTCATCCACCACCCAAAACAGCGCTTCGGGCTCCACCGACGGGCCCCAATGGGACCGCCCGCTTGCGTCATCCACCACTCTATACAGCGCTTCGTGGCCCCATAGGGAGCTCCACCGAAGGCCTTAGTGGGACCGCCCGCATGCGTAATCCACCACCCAGTACAGCGCTTCGTGACCCCATGGGGAGCTCCACCGAAAGCCCCCGTGGGACCCCCCGCATGCGTCATCCACCACACAGCACGGCATTTCGTGGCCACATAGGGAGCTCCACCGAAGGCCCCAGAGGGACTGCCCGCATGCGTCATTCATGCAGATCCACACGGGGGTGGCGTCGACGGGGGGGGCGAAAGTTGAGCGCGCCGTCCGGCGCGAGATGATCTTTATCTTCCTCGGAGGGTGCCCATTGCGCGCGAGTTGTTCACCGTCGCGGTGCCCATGTTGCAGTTTGGTGATTGGGCGGGCTTCGTGACGGCCGGCTTCGCGCTCGGGCGAAGCGAACAGGTTTGGGGCGCGCGCGCATTAGCGTTCAGGAGCGGTCGTCTGGCATGGCCCTTGTCCTCGCGCGAAGTGATGCGCCATTAAGGTCGCGCTCTCGAATGATCCTTAGAATTGGCAGTGGATTGCATGGCTCATTTCCGAGGAGTCGCGCAGCGCGCCTAAATCTTGAAGGGTGCCACCTTCTTCAGCCACTACTGGAGGGCGCGGGGCCACGTCGCGCCGGGGCCCCGGATTTCTTGATCCCAGGTCAAGGCCCATCGTACTCTAGACGACGCGTTCTCTGAGCAAGGCCGCGTCTGAATCCTCGTAGCTAGAATGGCACACGATGTAATGAGACAACATCGCGGGGGCGCATGGTTTGACCCTGCTGCTCGTTTAGACACCGCCCCCGCTATCTTCATGTTTCTGGTGTTCGCGACTGGTGCGGGACGGGTGCATGCTAGCGGGCCCTTTCACGAGAGTACTTTGGCCCCCTGTCCGAGGCCCCTCGCACGCCCCTCCCCGCCCCGTTGCCCCCCCCAAGCCCCTACCTGGGCAGGCCAGGGTCATCGCTGCACCTCGCGTTCAAAGCGCATCGCCTCTTACTGCTGTCGTCGTTGCCCAGGGGGCGGGGGGAGGCAGGAGGAGCGAGGAGGAGGGAGGAGGAGGAGAGCGGGGGGGAGGAGGGAGGGGGAGGAAGGATGGGGGGCGAGGAGGAAGGAGTGGACAGCGGAGGAGGGAAGAGGAGGAGGGAATAGAAGCGAGGATGGCGTCCGGGTGCCACTGCGCGGCCGCGGTCCCGCGAGGATCTCCGATGCGGTCTGCCATCGAACACGCTCAGCTGCCTTCGCCAAGTCAGGCTACGCGGTCTCAATTGTCCTGAACCAGACGGCACTAGTTGTCTCAATTTGTCTCAAAGTTTCTCACCAAGCGAACCTTTCTGTCTCAATTTCTCTCAATTTGGGTCGTCCCCGGGATATTATATCTCAATTTCTCTCAATTTCTCTCAATTCCTCTCAAAATCTCTGAAATATTCTCAATTCCTCTCAATATAGCTTACCATGAGAAAGCGCTACTACACAACAGCATCTTGATGGGCCGTTGCTCTCTCAAAAGACCTTTTCGCGACGTCCCTGGGAATGCCCTCGGCTCCCCGACCCGCTTCCTTGCCTCTCGAGGTAATCGAGGATAGGGTCCCCGTCCACCCTCTCCCTCCCTGCCTTGACTCCATCCTCTCCCTCCCCGCCTTGACTCTCCATCCCTCCCTACATCACTCCCCCCTTCCCTCCCCTTCCCTTCCTGCCTCCCCCCTTCCCTCCCTCCGTCCCTCTCCTCCCCCCTCCCCCTCGTCGTCGTCGTCGCGGCGGCGGTTGGCCGGCGCCCGCTCCTCTTGCCCCCTGGGCCCGCTGCTCGGGGGAGGGCGGGCTCCCCGAAGCGCCGGTGGGAAGCCCTTCGGCGTGGCCCCGTCGGAGGACTCCAGCGCTCCTCCTAGGGCCGTCCCTGGAGTCCTTGGCAGTCATGCGAGGTCTTCGGCGTATGTCCGAAGCCTCTGCAAGTTGTCGGCCGCCCCTGGAGGCTCTCGGAAACCCCGAGCCTTTCCAGGGTCCTCGGGACCCTTGGAAGCCGCCAGGGCTCGCGGTCCTGGTGATCGTCTTGGGGGCCGGTGGGTTTCGGGGGGCTTCGGCTGCCTCTGGCGGCTTTCGGTGGTCTCCGGGAATCCCCCTTGCGATCCTCGGAGGTCCATGGCAGCCCTCGGGGACCCTTTGTGGTCCCTGGTGTCTGCTTGGGCTCTTCGGGGGTCGTCGGGGATGTCTGGAAGCCTTTGGATGCCTCGGGGGGCTCGTCCTCCGGGGGGCTTGCAAAGTGCAAACGCACAAACATATGCACATGTGCATGTGCAAATACAGATGCACATGCCGAAATAATGATGATCCGAATTTGTGGTACGTTGTGCGTTGCAGGAACGATGCGTTGCTGTCGTCATTTTGCAACTGGTTTATGCTTGCAGGCGCAGTGGACTTGGGGATGCCGCCAAGGGGTCCGATCAGGCTTCTGGCGGCGGTTCGCTTGTGTAAATGTACGAAACCTCTGCGTCGTTATATCTGTTGCGCTGTTGTGTGACTGCGCCGAAATATTGTTGCAAAGCGCCCATTCTACAGACCCGCTGCGTCGAAGTGGTCTCGCGTGGCGGCCCTCCTCCATAGCGGCGTCCATGGACGTTGCGCATTGTTGTGCAGCCGCGTGCGTTTGGTTGTGTTTTGAGCGTGTTTGGTTGTGTTTTGAACACCCCTTGGCTCACTCAGCGGCGGTTTGATCGCCCCCCCCGTCTCCGCCACCCCCATGTGGATCTGAAGGAGTCATCCACAACCCAGCACAGCATTTTGTGGCCACATAGGGAGCTCCACCGAAGGCTCCCGTGGGACCGCCCGCATGCGTCACCCACCACCCAGCACAGCGCTTCGTGGCCCCATGGGGGCTCCACCGGAGGCCCCAGTGGGACTGCCCGCGTGCGTCATCCACCACCCAGTACCACATAGGGGGCTCCACCGAAGGCCCCAGTTGGACCGCCCGCATGCGCCATCCACCAGTACAGTGCTTCGTGTCCCCACAGGGAACTCCACCTAAGGTGTCCGGGGCATGGCGGCCCAGTGGCGGAATTCGCACGGCAGCGACTTTCGGTATCCAGACGTATATCTGCGTATTCGAGCTGTTGAGGCTGCTTTTGGGCCGCGCATCCCGGGCGGGAGCCAACCTGCTCGCTCTCTCTGCTCCGCGCAGCAGACGACCCGCGTGCGTCGCCGGGACCCCTTCGGGGCGACCAGCGCGCGTCGCGGGGACTCCGTGCGGCGCCCCGCCCGTAGCCTTGGACGTGGGCGTGCACGGGCAAAGAGGGAGAATACGAACGGGAAGCAAGCGGGCGCGATCCTCGTGAGAGGCGCGCCGACATGGGCGTCGACATGCATGCACGTAAACTCGCGCGCGCGCAGATTCATCCAGAATCAAACTCACTCGCTTTCGGTCTCTCACACATAGACCAATCGTCTTCGCTTGCGTTGTGTGCCCCGCCACGCATGTCGGCACGCCCCTCACGCAGCTCATGGCCCCATGGAGACGCGGGCGAAGATGATATTCAGAACTGCGGCATTCACAGCTGCATATGGTTGGGTCCTTTGCCAGGCTAATTTTTGGACCGCGGAAGCCCCCTCCACCTCGGGGCGTCGGCGCGCAATGCAATGTCATGCTACGCGTTGATCTTCAACACCATGCTATGCAATGTAATGCTATGCCATGCTACGACATCCGATAGTGCGAAT